ACCACCAAATATGGAAAATGAGAAGGATGCCAACTCTGACTAGTTCCTGGGTAGTCAACCGGATTTCTAGTCCTCCCAGACCGGGGCGAGGAGTTGGAAAGGGGTGTGGGGGGGGGGGGGCATCATGTGGTCTAGTCAGTAAGTGGTTACAGTAAAGTCAAGTAGCGGTCCGTGTCCACGCTTTCAGGCGTAAAGGGCAAATAGGGCTAGACCGTTATTTGTATAGACCAATCGGCACAAGATGTGTGATGTGGTCAGCATCAGGCCGGCCGCCTTTACTTTCCGGGACTACAACCGGTACCCACTTCGGGCTGGGTCGGCCTGGAGTCAAGGCCATTTTAAAAAACAAGTCTGGCTCCGCCAGGAAGCGAACCCACGACCTTCCGATCAGCGAGCATCTAGCCGCTCGGCCACGGCGACTTCCAGGCATTGTTTATGGTCTAGGAATTGTAACACTATCTGCCTCTAGTGTGTCAAACGTGAACAGATTCAAAATAAGGGAAAGACAATCGTCTTGGGCTGCACACCAGATACACCAAATATGACAATGAGGGATCTGTTTGGGTTAACATAGGTGAGGTCTAGACTGTCCCCGGCACAAGCCAAGGTTACATGCGTGATACTTATATCAAAGGATTCCTCTGAGGCTGTAAAGAACACCATGATTACAGATGCTGTATAGAACACCGAGATCAATGATGCTGTATAGAACACCATGATTACAGATGCTGTATAGAACACCATGATTACAGATGCTGTATAGAACACCATGATTACAGATGCTGTATAGAACACCATGATTACAGATGCTGTATAGAACACCATGATTACAGATGCTGTATAGAACACCATGATTACAGATGCTGTATAGAACACCATGATTACAGATGCTGTATAGAACACCATGATTACAGATGCTGTATAGAACACCATGATTACAGATGCTGTATAGAACACCATGATTACAGATGCTGTATAGAACACCATGATTACTGATGCTGTATAGAACACCATGATTACAGATGCTGTATAGAACACCATGATTACAGATGCTGTATAGAACACCATGATTACAGATGCTGTATAGAACACCATGATTACAGATGCTGTATAGAACACCATGATTACAGATGCTGTATAGAACACCATGATTACAGATGCTGTATAGAACACCATGATTGATTACTGTATAGAACACCATGATTACAGATGCTGTATAGAACACCATGATTACAGATGCTGTATAGAACACCATGATTACAGATGCTGTATAGAACACCATGATTACAGATGCTGTATAGAACACCATGATTACTGATGCTGTATAGAACACCATGATTACAGATGCTGTATAGAACACCATGATTACAGATGCTGTATAGAACACCATGATTACAGATGCTGTATAGAACACCATGATTACAGATGCTGTATAGAACACCATGATTACAGATGCTGTATAGAACACCATGATTACAGATGCTGTATAGAACACCATGATTACAGATGCTGTATAGAACACCATGATTACAGATGCTGTATAGAACACCATGATTACAGATGCTGTATAGAACACCATGATTACCATGATGTATAGAACATGATGATGCTGTATAGAACACCATGATTACAGATGCTGTATAGAACACCATGATTACAGATGCTGTATAGAACACCATGATGATACAGATGCTGTATAGAACACCATGATTACAGATGCTGTATAGAACACCATGATTACAGATGCTGTATAGAACACCATGATTACATGCTGTATAGAACACCATGATTACAGATGCTGTATAGAACACCATGATTACAGATGCTGTATAGAACATGATTACAGATGCTGTATAGAACACCATGATTACAGATGCTGTATAGAACACCATGATTACAGATGCTGTATAGAACACCATGATTACAGATGCTGTATAGAACACCATGATTACAGATGCTGTATAGAACACCATGATTACAGATGCTGTATAGAACACCATGATTACATGATTACAGATGCTGTATAGAACACCATGATTACAGATGCTGTATAGAACACCATGATTACAGATGCTGTATAGAACACCATGATTACAGATGCTGTATAGAACACCATGATGTATAGAACACCATGATTACAGATGCTGTATAGAACACCATGATTACAGATGCTGTATAGAACACCATGATTACAGATGCTGTATAGAACACCATGATTACAGATGCTGTATAGAACACCATGATTACAGATGCTGTATAGAACACCATGATTACAGATGCTGTATAGAACAACACCATGATTACAGATGATGCTGTATAGAACACCATGATTACAGATGCTGTATAGAACACCATGATTACAGATGCTGTATAGAACACCATGATTACAGATGCTGTATAGAACACCATGATTACAGATGCTGTATAGAACACCATGATTACAGATGCTGTATAGAACACCATGATTACAGATGCTGTATAGAACACCATGATTACAGATGCTGTATAGAACACCATGATTACAGATGCTGTATAGAACACCATGATTACAGATGCACCATGATTACAGATGCTGTATAGAACACCATGATTACAGATGCTGTATAGAACAACATGATTACAGATGCTGTATAGAACACCATGATTACAGATGCTGTATAGAACACCATGATTACAGATGCTGTATAGAACACCATGATTACAGATGCTGTATAGAACACCATGATTACAGATGCTGTATAGAACACCATGATTACAGATGCTGTATAGAACACACCATGATTACAGATGCTGTATAGAACACCATGATTACAGATGCTGTATAGAACACCATGATTACAGATGCTGTATAGAACACCATGATTACAGATGCTGTATAGAACACCATGATTACAGATGCTGTATAGAACACCATGATTACAGATGCTGTATAGAACACCATGATTACAGATGCTGTATAGAACACCATGATTACAGATGCTGTATAGAACACCATGATTACAGATGCTGTATAGAACACCATGATTACATGATTGTACACCATGATTACAGATGCTGTATAGAACACCATGATTACAGATGCTGTATAGAACACCATGATTACAGATGCTGTATAGAACACCATGATTACAGATGCTGTATAGAACACCATGATTACAGATGCTGTATAGAACACCATGATTACAGATGCTGTATAGAACACCATGATTACAGATGCTGTATAGAACACCATGATTACAGATGCTGTATAGAACACCATGATTACAGATGCTGTATAGAACACCATGATTACAGATGCTGTATAGAACACCATGATTACAGATGCTGTATAGAACACCATGATTACAGATGCTGTATAGAACACCATGATTACAGATGCTGTATAGAACACCATGATTACAGATGCTGTATAGAACACCATGATTACAGATGCTGTATAGAACACCATGATTACAGATGCTGTATAGAACACCATGATTACAGATGCTGTATAGAACACCATGATTACAGATGCTGTATAGACACACCATGATTACAGATGCTGTATAGAACACCATGATTACAGATGCTGTATAGAACACCATGATTACAGATGCTGTATAGAACACCATGATTACAGATGCTGTATAGAACACCATGATTACAGATGCTGTATAGAACACCATGATTACAGATGCTGTATAGAAACACCATGATTACAGATGATAGAACACCATGATTACAGATGCTGTATAGAACACCATGATTACAGATGCTGTATAGAACACCATGATTACAGATGCTGTATAGAACACCATGATTACAGATGCTGTATAGAACACCATGATTACAGATGCTGTATAGAACACCATGATTACAGATGCTGTATAGAACAGATTACAGATGCTGTATAGAACACCATGATTACAGATGCTGTATAGAACACCATGATTACAGATGCTGTATAGAACACCATGATTACAGATGCTGTATAGAACACCATGATTACAGATGCTGTATAGAACAGATTACAGATGCTGTATAGAACACCATGATTACAGATGCTGTATAGAACACCATGATTACAGATGATGCTGTATAGAACACCATGATTACAGATGTATAGAACAACATGATTACAGAGAACACCATGATTACAGATGCTGTATAGAACACCATGATTACAGATGCTGTATAGAACACACCATGATTACAGATGCAGATGTATATAAACACCATGATTACAGATGCTGTATAGAACACCATGATTACAGATGCTGTATAGAACACCATGATTACAGATGCTGTATAGAACACCATGATTACAGATGCTGTATAGAACACCATGATTACAGATGCTGTATAGAACACCATGATTACAGATGCTGTATAGAACACCATGATTACAGATGCTGTATAGAACACCATGATTACAGATGCTGTATAGAACACCATGATTACAGATGCTGTATAGAACAGATTACATGCTGTATGATTTACAGATGCTGTATAGAACACCATGATTACAGATGCTGTATAGAACACCATGATTACAGATGCTGTATAGAACACCATGATTACAGATGCTGTATAGAACACCATGATTACAGATGCTGTATAGAACACCATGATTACAGATGCTGTATGAACACCATGATTACAGATGCTGTATAGAACACCATGATTACAGATGCTGTATAGAACACCATGATTACAGATGCTGTATAGAACACCATGATTACAGATGCTGTATAGAACACCATGATTACAGATGCTGTATAGAACACCATGATTACAGATGCTGTATAGAACACCATGATTACAGATGCTGTATAGAACACCATGATTACAGATGCTGTATAACACCATGATTACACTGTATAGAACACCATGATTACAGATGCTGTATAGATAGAACACCATGATTATTGCTGTACAGATTACAGATGCTGTATAGAACACCATGATTACAGATGCTGTATAGAACACCATGATTACAGATGCTGTATAGAACACCATGATTACAGATGCTGATGATATAGAACACCATGATTACAGATGCTGTATAGAACACCATGATTACAGATGCTGTATAGAACACCATGATTACAGATGCTGTATAGAACACCATGATTACAGATGCTGTATAGAACACCATGATTACAGATGCTGTATAGAACACCATGATTACAGATGCTGTATAGAACACCATGATTACAGATGCTGTATAGAACACCATGATTACAGATGCTGTATAGAACACCATGATTACAGATGCTGTATAGAACACCATGATTACACCATGATGATGTATAGAACACCATGATTACAGATGCTGTATAGAACACCATGATTACAGATGCTGTATAGAACACCATGATTACAGATGCTGTATAGAACACCATGATTACAGATGCTGTATAGAACACCATGATTACAGATGCTGTATAGAACACCATGATTACAGATGATGTATAGAACACCATGATTACAGATGCTGTATAGAACACCATGATTACAGATGCTGTATAGAACACCATGATTACAGATGCTGTATAGAACACCATGATTACAGATGCTGTATAGAACACCATGATTACAGATGCTGTATAGAACACCATGATTACAGATGCTGTATAGAACACCATGATTACAGATGCTGTATAGAACACCATGATTACAGATGCTGTATAGAACACCATGATTACAGATGCTGTATAGAACACCATGATTGTACAGATGCTGTATAGAACACCATGATTACAGATGCTGTATAGAACACCATGATTACAGATGCTGTATAGAACACCATGATTACAGATGCTGTATAGAACACCATAGAACACCATGATTACAGATGCTGTATAGAACACCATGATTACAGATGCTGTATAGAACACCATGATTACAGATGCTGTATAGAACACCATGATTACAGATGCTGTATAGAACACCATGATTACAGATGCTGTATAGTATAGAACACACATGATTACAGATGCTGTATAGAACACCATGATTACAGATGCTGTATAGAACACCATGATTACAGATGCTGTATAGAACACCATGATTACAGATGCTGTATAGAACACCATGATTACAGATGCTGTATAGAACACCATGATTACAGATGCTGTATAGAACACCATGATTACAGATGATGTATAGACAGATTACAGATGCTGTATAGAACACCATGATTACAGATGCTGTATAGAACACCATGATTACAGATGCTGTATAGAACACATGATTACAGATGCTGTATAGAACAACATGATTACAGATGCTGTATAGAACACCATGATTACAGATGCTGTATAGAACACCATGATTACAGATGCTGTATAGAACACCATGATTACAGATGCTGTATAGAACACCATGATTACAGATGCTGTATAGAACACCATGATTACAGATGCTGTATAGAACACCATGATTACAGATGCTGTATAGAACACCATGATTACAGATGCTGTATAGAACACCATGATTACAGATGCTGTATAGAACACCATGATTACAGATGCTGTATAGAACACCATGATTACAGATGCTGTATAGAACACCATGATTACAGATGATGTATAGAACACCATGATTACAGATGCTGTATAGAACACCATGATTACAGATGCTGTATAGAACATAGAACACCATGATTACAGATGCTGTATAGAACACCATGATTACAGATGCTGTATAGAACACCATGATTACAGATGCTGTATAGAACACCATGATTACAGATGCTGTATAGAACACCATGATTACAGATGCTGTATAGAACACCATGATTACAGATGCTGTATAGAACACCATGATTACAGATGCTGTATAGAACACCATGATTATAGACAGATGATGCTGTATAGAACACCATGATTACAGATGCTGTATAGAACACCATGATTACAGATGCTGTATAGAACACCATGATTACAGATGCTGTATAGAACACCATGATTACAGATGATGTATAGAACACCATGATTATGATGCTGTATAGAACAGATTACAGATGCTGTATAGAACACCATGATTACAGATGCTGTATAGAACACCATGATTACAGATGCTGTATAGAACACCATGATTATAGAACACAGATGCTGTATAGAACACCATGATTACAGATGCTGTATAGAACACCATGATTACAGATGCTGTATAGAACACCATGATTACAGATGCTGTATAGAACACCATGATTACAGATGCTGTATAGAACACCATGATTACAGATGCTGTATAGAACACATGATTACAGATGATAGAACAACATGATTACAGATGCTGTATAGAACACCATGATTACAGATGCTGTATAGAACACTGTATGATTTACAGATGCTGTATAGAACACCATGATTACAGAACACCATGATTACTGTATAGAACACCATGATTACAGATGCTGTATAGAACACCATGATTACAGATGCTGTATAGAACACCATGATTACAGATGCTGTATAGAACACCATGATTACAGATGCTGTATAGAACACCATGATTACAGATGCTGTATAGAACACCATGATTACAGATGCTGTATAGAACACCATGATTACAGATGCTGTATAGAACACCATGCTGATTACAGATGCTGTATAGAACACCATGATTACAGATGCTGTATAGAACACCATGATTACAGATGCTGTATAGAACACCATGATTACAGATGCTGTATAGAACACCATGATTACAGATGCTGTATAGAACAACATGATTACAGATGCTGTATAGAACACCATGATTACAGATGCTGTATAGAACACCATGATTACAGATGCTGTATAGAACACCATGATTACAGATGCTGTATAGAACACCATGATTACAGATGCTGTATAGAACACCATGATTACAGATGCTGTATAGAACACCATGATTACAGATGCTGTATAGAACACACCATGATTACAGATGCACCATGATATAGAACACCATGATTACAGATGCTGTATAGAACACCATGATTACAGATGCTGTATAGAACACCATGATTACTGATGCTGTATAGAACACCATGATTACAGATGCTGTATAGAACACCATGATTACAGATGCTGTATAGAACACCATGATTACAGATGCTGTATAGAACACCATGATTACAGATGCTGTATAGAACACCATGATTACAGATGCTGTATAGAACACCATGATTACAGATGCTGTATAGAACACCATGATTACAGATGCTGTATAGAACTGTATAGAACACCATGATTACAGATGCTGTATAGAACACCATGATTACAGATGCTGTATAGAACAACATGATTACAGATGCTGTATAGAACACCATGATTATATGCTGTATAGAACACATGATTACAGATGCTGTATAGAACACCATGATTACAGATGCTGTATAGAACACCATGATTACAGATGCTGTATAGAACACCATGATTACAGATGCTGTATAGAACACCATGATTACAGATGCTGTATAGAACACCATGATTACAGATGCTGTATAGAACACCATGATTACAGATGCTGTATAGAACACCATGATTACAGATGCTGTATAGAACACCATGATTACAGATGCTGTATAGAACACCATGATTACAGATGCTGTATAGAACACCATGATTACAGATGCTGTATAGAACACCATGATTACAGATGCTGTATAGAACACCATGATTACAGATGCTGTATAGAACAACATGATTACAGATGCTGTATAGAACACCATGATTACAGATGCTGTATAGAACACCATGATTACAGATGCTGTATAGAACACCATGATTACAGATGCTGTATAGAACACCATGATTACAGATGCTGTAAAGAACACACCATGATTACAGATGCTGTATAGAACACCATGATTACAGATGCTGTATAGAACACCATGATTACAGATGCTGTATAGAACACCATGATTACAGATGCTGTATAGAACACCATGATTACAGATGCTGTATAGAACACCATGATTACAGATGCTGTATAGAACATTACAGATGCTGTATGATTTACAGATGCTGTATAGAACACCAGATGCTGTATAGAACAACATGATTACAGATGCTGTATAGAACAACATGATTATGCTGTATAGAACACCATGATTACAGATGCTGTATAGAACACCATGATTACAGATGCTGTATAGAACACCATGATTACAGATGCTGTGTGATTACTGATGCTGTATAGAACACCATGATTACAGATGCTGTATAGAACAACATGATTACAGATGCTGTATAGAACACCATGATTACTGATGCTGTATAGAACACCATGATTACAGATGCTGTATAGAACACCATGATTACAGATGCTGTATAGAACACCATGATTACTGATGCTGTATAGAACACCATGATTACAGATGCTGTATAGAACACCATGATTACAGATGCTGTATAGAACACCATGATTACAGATGCTGTATAGAACACCATGATTACAGATGCTGTATAGAACACCATGATTACAGATGCTGTATAGAACACCATGATTACAGATGCTGTATAGAACACCATGATTACAGATGCTGTATAGAACACCATGATTACAGATGCTGTATAGAACACCATGATTACAGATGCTGTATAGAACACCATGATTACAGATGCTGTATAGAACACCATGATTACAGATGCTGTATAGAACACCATGATTACAGATGCTGTATAGAACACCATGATTACAGATGCTGTATAGAACACCATGATTACAGATGCTGTATAGAACACCATGATTACAGATGCTGTATAGAACACCATGATTACAGATGCTGTATAGAACACCATGATTACAGATGCTGTATAGAACACCATGATTACAGATGCTGTATAGAACACCATGATTACAGATGCTGTATAGAACACCATGATTACAGATGCTGTATAGAACACCATGATTACAGATGCTGTATAGATGATTACAGATGCTGTATAGAACACCATGATTACAGATGCTGTATAGAACACCATGATTACAGATGCTGTATAGAACAACATGATTACAGATGCTGTATAGAACACCATGATTACTGATGCTGTATAGAACACCATGATTACAGATGCTGTATAGAACACCATGATTACAGATTCTGTATAGAACACCATGATTACAGAGCTTTAGGGGCCAGTGTTGAAATTGGGGACTTTGTATGAGTTGAGGCTCTTTGCTTTAGGGGCCAGCGTTAAAATTGGGGACTTTGTATGAGTTGAGGCTCTTTGCTTTACGGGCCAGTGTTGAAATTGGGGACTTTGTATGAGTTGAGGCTCTTTGCTTTAGGGGCCAGCGTTGAAATTGGGGACTTTGTAAGAGTTGA